CCAAAGACAGGGAACGACGGTCGGCGAAGAAGTTGGAAGAGAGCGAGAGGGAGGTCGAGAGTCTGAAGGAGTGGTTGGACGTAACGGAGAAGAATCACGAAGCGAACCTTCGCGAGTTTCGTTCTTCCGTCGAGTCCGACAAGGCGAAGGCGATATTAGATCTGGAAACAGCCAAGGCCGATCACTCCGACAGGACTGACATTCTCCGAACTGAGATTGCCGATCTTAAGGAAAAGCTGGCCGAGGCCACCCGAAAGGAGTCTTCGCTGATCAAGGATGTCGAAAAATTAACCGCCCTGAAGTATGAGAACGAGAAGGAAAATAGGAGGATGAAATAGCAGCTTTCCCATAAAGATCGCACGGCTATCGACTTGCGGAACGAGATCGACACCCTGGAAGAGAAAATGAAACGAAACGGAAGTAAGACGGAGGATCAAATGACGGCCTACAAAGAAGAGATTGAAAGAAACGTGAAGAGGATGAAAGAGTTGGACGCTACGATCGCGAAGAAGATTCGAGAGGCGGCCGGTCTCGAAGACGAGATCGCCGTCCTCAAAGAAGGGAAGGAACGTGACGGACGGAAAATAAAAGGTTTCGGGGTGCAGCTCGCTAACAAGGGACGCGAGGCGACCGCCCTCAAAGACGAGATAGCCGCATTGCAAACGGACCTCTCGAGAGCGCGCGAAGAATGCGCGGACGACCGGAGTTCCGAGCTTTCCGTCCTTCTAGAAAAGACGAAAGACGAACTGCGACGGACGTCCCGCGATCTGGCGGCCGCCAAGGAAGCCGAGATCAGGCTGAAGGCGAACCACAAAAACATCGAGGAGATCCCGCAGTGGAAGCAAAGGGTCGAAGAATTGAAGAAGGCACGAGACGAATCTCACGAATCCCACGTCAAGGAACTCGGATCGCTTCGAGACGATCTCGAGAGGGAGAAATCGGACGCTGAAACGAAACTTGCAACGGCGAAGGCGAGCCACTCGGACGAGATTGAAAATCTTCGAACGCAGATATCTTTTCTCAAAGAAAAGGAATCGAAACTGAGAAGAGACACAGGTAAGTTGCATGCGGCCCTAAAGGAACGGGAAGAAAAGCATCTCGATCGGATAGCTAAACTGGAATCCGATAAGAATTCGCGATCGGCCGAAGCGGAAGAGGCTCTTGACGAGTGCGCGTCCCTCTCGGAGAAACTGAAGCTCGCGACCGATTCCGAACGTCGGTCGAAGGAGGACATTGATAGGTGGCAAGCCGAGAAGAGGTCGTGGCAAGCGACGGCCGAACGACGTTCGGCAGATCTCGACAAGCTTCGCGACCTGCTGAATACATCCGAGAGAGAACGCGCAAATCTTGAGTCCCAACTTTCGAACGTTGACAAGAATGTTACGGATTCGAAAGAAACGGATTCGTTGAAGCGGGAGCTGGAAAGACATCGACAGGAGATCCGACAACTCGAACGACTTCTGAGCGACGAAAAGAGGGAGAAGTTGGGTGAATCCAACGATAGAATGATTTCGGAACTAAGTAAAGAACTCAAAACGGTCATCGACGCGCGCGATAGACTGGTGAAAAAGAACACCGAAATGGAAAAGAGGCTATCGGAATCGGACAAAAGTCTGTCGAATTTGTACGACGAATCGATGAAAAAGGTTGTCCACCTCGAAGAATCGGTGTTTTCGAAGAACAAGAAAGCGGACTAATTGAGATCAGATTTGACGAAAACGAAGATGGAGATGGACGAGATCAAAAGACAACTCAACTTTGCCAATAACAAAGTGGCGGAGGCGTATTCCGAAGTGACTCGAATCGTCGAGAACTCGGAAGACGGACGATCCCACGAGGAATGTCGAGAACTTCTCACACGACGCCTCGATGAAGTGGAACGTTCGTTGGAAAAGGAAAAGATGAAGTTGGCCGATTGTACGCAAATGAACAAAGAATTAATTCGACAGATATCCTATCTGACGAACGCAATAGAAACAGTAAATTACGGCCGAAGTGTAGAGGTAAGCACATTGCGCCGATTACTGAACGATTGCAGACGCGAAGGGTCTCAACGACAACGTCGGGAACCTCCCGGTCGCCGTAACGTCGGTCCCAGCTACAACGTCGTCGAAGACGCAAATCCGAAGAGGAAGTGGACGACGACGATAGCGAAGACGTCCTCGTCGGCAACTCCGAAGAGAACGAAAACCCCCGTCCCGTTCGTCGTGGACTACCGACCGAGCTCCACCGCCTACGGAGGTTTGATCGGAGAGGACGAATGTTCGTTTCATCAGCTTCTGAACCAAGCAAGACGGTTCGTCGAGTCCGAGGACGAAGTACCGAAGGCGGCGAAGAGGTTGTCTGACAGGTACGGTTCGACGGCTTTCGCGCCGACCGTGGTTTACGCTGATCCGCCCACGCCTGCCACCAGATCTCTCGCGAGGTTGATAGCGTTCATGGGAAAGATTCCCCGCGTGACGCTGCTGAAACCGAGCGAATGCACGGTTGCCATCTGCTTCCTTTCGAGCAACAACCATTCCGGGTTCGCCGGAAGGGGAGACGCGCGCTACGTGCTTTTCGACGACGACGCCGAAAGCATAAAGTGGACGGACACGTATACGCTCGTCCAGTTGGCCGAGAGGATACTGGATCGCAATCTCGTACACGATCCCGGCGCGGTGATAGTGGAAGATGTTCGACGACATTGACGACCCGGCCACCAGTTCCGACAACTTCCTGCTTCTCATAAGCATCCTGCTTGCCGACATCGTACCTAACTGCGAAGAACGCGAGCGGGAGAGACGCGAACTCGTTACTTCCGTTTTCTGAATGTCTTTCGAAATTTGGAGGAATCTCGAAGTGCGCGTGCGAAGGAGATGGTCGAGGTGGGCGCAAGGGAGGAGGGCGATCGACGCCGACCGCCGTCTAGAATTATTCGAGAATGGTGAGCAGGAGGATGAGGAGGAGGAGGACGACGAAGACGATTCGTTGGAGGAATTGTCTGTGGATCTGCAACGACGGTTGGAAGCTGCGTGCGGAAGCGGCACAGACGACGACGTCGTTCCCTTCTACGCAAGATGCTTAGTTCTAGCGGAACACCTTCTGCGAGGGACGGATTCGGTCACGACGGAGTGCTGCACCATGACCGACTTTGACGCCGTGCTCGCGCGACACGTGCTGTTTCCTTGGACGATCGAGCATTCGACGGTGATATCGAGGCGCCTGTCGGCACTCTGGAGGTTCGTGGTCGTCGTGGGTACCTTACCGGCGTTGCCCATCGGTTGTTGTCCGAACGTCGGATACCGGTGTTTCGTATGCAGGAAGGAGCAGACGGACGAGGAGTGCCACCATCTCGTCACGACGATCGCGAACGAAGGTACGGAACGGAAGACGAGGAGGATATCTGCCGCGGTGCGCCTCCAGTATTCCCGCGTCTCGACTCTCGCCAGTCGACGAGACCGGAAGTCGCCGAGAAGGACGAGTTCGAGATCGCGAGGCGCGTCGACAGGCGTGCAAGATCGGCCGCCGACAAGCTTAGGGTGGAGATCGAAAAGAAGATAAGGTACGCAGAAGCGTGCGTCCGATACGCCTCCCTTCCAAAGACCGTGAGTCTCGGTTGCATAGCGCACGTTGCGAAGCTCGTCTCGTTCGAAAAGCGCAGACGGCAGCTGGCGAACGTAAAACGAGAGACGTTCGACCACAGGGATCTGGAAAGGTGGTCCCGAAATCTGCTGGAGTCGATGTTGGCCAATCCGGAATGGCGCGATCAGAGACGGGCCGCGATGGCCTCGTTCTTCCGTTTGGTGGTCGATCCGACCACGGTGGTGAGGGACGCGTCGACGACGAGACACGAGACCGCCTTCCGAACATGGATGAAAGCGTACAAAGTGCCCGCCGAGAGCGTTTGCGATTACGTCGACGGACTGAAGGGCGTGACTCTGAAGACGACCGTCGAAGACGACCTGACTTGCCTGTACAAATGTCTACTCACCTGGCACGTGTTCCTAGCCATGCCCGTGTCGGGGGAGGCGGCTCCTCTCCCATCATCAACAGGGGCGACGTGGACGGCATGCCGGACGCGGACGGGCTCTGCTTTCTCTACGACGACCGTCGCTTTCTGGTCAGGAGAGGGGACCGAACGATGACGTTCGTTTACGAGCGAGCGCTCGAATCGTGCGTGGCTTGGATCTACCACGGACCGTTACCGACCTCTACGGTAACGAACGTGCTGTTCCACGCTGGTTTCGACGACGATCGACATGAGATCGGCGAACAGGAGCGCGAGACGGGCCGACATCTGCGACACGACCAGGTTTTGGATCCTGTAGTCGAGTCCAATCATGACGGTCACACGAACTAGCACCTCGGTCGCGAAGAGCAGCTTGCCCTGTCCGTCGTAATATCGGTTCAGAAATATGCCGATGGTATATCTTAGATTGCAGTAGAAGGTTATCGCGAAAAGTACAAGATTCGCAGAAAGCAGATCCCGATACTTTCTTATCTGCTTGTCGTACGTATCCCCCTGCCAGTCGTACCGATCGAACAGACCGTAGAGAACGAACAGGAAGATTAGGAGCGGCGCAATGAGCGGAGCGAACTTCTTCATCCTTTAACGAATGCTTACAAAAACCGACGCCCGAGAGTTGGATCGATCATACGCAAACATGTTCGGGAAAAAAAGAGACGATCGTTTCGAGTACAAGAGAGTGGAATCGATGCGCAACGTGGCTTCCATGGAACAGAGGTTCGAGGAGAAGGCCGCGGCCGCTCGACGGAGCGTGGAAGCCGGGGTGAAGTACGGTGCCGGACCCCGAAAGTTGGCGTCCCTCATCAGACGCGCGTCAGATTACGAGCGTCTGCAATCGACTTCCCAGAAGGTGATTTACGATCTAGAGAAGGACGCCCTGTCTTCGGAAATGCGAAACATTGACGGTCTGCAGTACGAAAGGTTGAAACGAGAAGATCACGAACTCGGCAAATTCGAGAGGCTCACCAATCCCCGCAAACTATGCAGACGTATAGCGGCCGTGAAGGTCAGAAGAGACCGTCGCAAAG